CCTTCCCAGCATGCAGTGGTTCTCTGGACCCACCCTTCCCAGCATGCAGTGGTTCTCTCTCGTTGTGGTTATTCTCCCCTTTCACTGCTCTGTCCTCCCTTTTCTCAAATGTCTTAGTTTTCTCCTTCAGTGACGCCCACTCACAGATTTCTCATTGTTGATAATTCTGTTTTGAAGTCTCCTTATGTTCCTAATGAATGAATTGCTATTTTCACTGTGAGATTTAAAATATATATATACCTTGGTAGGTAGTGCTTTCTTGTAGGTCCCTAAGACTAGTCAGTTACAAGTATTTTGACATAAGAAAACCAGTGAAACAGAATTGCTTTGTTAGGAACAGGAAGAAATAAACGGATCTCTGTAGTGAATCTTGGGTGTAACTGGAGACACTTGGGGTGCAGAATGGCTCTTTCACAGTCTGCCTCAGCCTGGATAATCCTTTCCAGAATAAGTAAATCTCCCATTCTGTCCTCTTACTCTGATGCCATAGGTGGTGAGCATTATGAAAGGAAAGTCAACATCTCCATTGAAACTGTTGTTGGTGGTGTGTGGTACTGGGGATTGAATACAGGACTGTGAGCATGCCCGGCAAGTACTCTGTCACTGAGCTTCATTCTTTTTTTTTTTTTTTTTTTTTTTTTAATACTTGCTATCTTTGAGACAAGCTCTTACCAGGTTGCCCAGTTGGCTTTGAACTCGCTCTGTAGCCCAGGTAGTTCTTGAACTTGGAATCTTCCAACCTCAGCTGTTATTACAGGCAGAACTCTTACTGCATGTTATCAGTGATTGACCCTGTGTAGCCCAGGGAATACTTTTAGTCCTTATTTTTCCTCTCGCATTTAAGTCTTAATTAATAAATGTCTCTTTGAAATAAATTCCACCTATTTCTTGTACCACCATTTCTGTTCATTCTCTTCCTACGGCAGGAACTGCCATTTTTCAGTCTCTTGATTTTTTTTTTTTTCCTTTGCAAGTTTTCTAAACCACTATGCTTCTTAGAGTTTGGTTCTCTTCAGCTCTCATTGTATGTATTCCTTGCTCGGTGGTTTAACCCATGCCATGTCTTCACAGTGCCAGTGCTGCTGAACTCTACAATTCTGCACAGCAGACCTTTGTTTAGCTTGCAGACATGTTCCTGTCAGGCAACTATCTAAATCTTTCATAAATGTCTCAGAGTCATACCAGAGGCTAAGTCTATCACCCAAAGTATAATGTTTATTTCCTGTCTTGGCTATTGGTTGAATTCACTGCCCAACTCTTTAGTGAGAGGATCTCTCATTCACTCCTGTTCATCTCCTGTCTATCACTAAAATCACTTGAATCTTTTTTTTGTTGTTGTTGTTTTTCGAGACAGGGTTTCTCTGTGTAGCCCTGGCTATCCTGGAACTCACTCTGTAGACCAGGCTGGCCTTGAACTCAGAAATCCGCCTGCCTCTGCCTCCCAAGTGCTGGGATTAAAGGCGTGCGCCACCACCGCCCGGCCACCTATCTCCCACCACTCTCGGTATATGTCCTAACATTCATTTGTACCAGCTTGCCTCCGATTCATCAAAGCTGTCATGCTTTCTCATTTCCAGCCATTATACCCCTGCTTCCCACTGTCTTAGTGATCCACATTGCCATGCTGCTTGTTATTTCAGAAGCAGCTCCACTGCCAACCCTTCCGTCAGGTTTTCTCACAGTCTCTAGAGACTTAGTGTTTTTTGTCTTAAGAGCATCCTTTGCTGTCTGAAGACTTAGCATGTTATGTGTAGCTGTTCCCCACTATACTGTGAATCCTCCAAGAGCAAGGGCCGTGACCTCTCTCTGATAGTAGACTCAAAGGAACGTATGCTAAGTGAACATGTTAGATGTGTGGCATCTCAGAGACCTCCTATCATAATGGGGGTAGGAATGCTGTAGCAGGAGCTTAAACACTGTTTCATAAAAGTTTTGTGAAATTGGAGCAGCTGGATTCTGAGATAACTTACAGAAAATAGGTCCCGGCAATGTTCTTCTTGTGGACCGAGGAAACTTGGCTTATGGAGAGTAATACATGCCAGTGTGCTTTGGACTAACGGTTCTACAGCTTGTTAGAGGTGTGCATCTGTGGTGAATGGAGGTGCCAGGATTTAGACAGATTAAAGATTATATCTCGTTCATATTACTCCCATATTCTACATAAGTTCTGGTTTTGGAAAAAGATGATGAGATATGTTTTTGAAGTCTTTCTGAATGTGTTACACCTTGTGCTGTCTGTGCTTGGGGACAGCCAGGACCATTTAGTATAATTAGTTTGAGTTTTTTTCTAATTTTATTTTATTTATTATTTATTTTGTTTTTGAGACAGGGTTTATGTCCCTCTGGCTGTCCTGAAGCTCTCTATGTAGACCAGGCCAGTCTCACACTTAAGAGATCTGTCTATCTGTGTTCCCTGAATGCTAGGATTAAAGGGGTACACCACCACACCCAGCCAGTTGTTTATTTTAGTATTGAATCTTAAGTAGTGTGAGCAAATTGGCAGGGCTGGTAACACAGGCCTGTGCCTGGGAAGCTGAGGCCAGAGGAATCTTAGTCAAGGCTGACCTGAGGTACGGATGAGTTCAAGGCCAACTTGGGGAATTCAGTGGGACCCTGCTCAGTAAATAAATAAACAAAAAGTAAAAAGAGTGGGATATTGCATAGTAAAAGAGTGCTTTCCCAGCTTCTAGTGATTAGATTTGAATTATAGTAAAGTTGAGCCCCAATTTCAGCAGTGAGCAGTGGTGCACACACATAGTCCTAGGTCTTCAAGTTGGAAACCAGACTCTGTTACATAGTGAGTCCCTGTCTGAAAAACAACAAAACAGAACTACTACCTCCTATAGCACAGTGATTTTTGAAAGAGAAACATGGGGCAACACAGGGTCTCCAGATGTTAGAACAAAGCTCTAAGTGGTCATTTGTATGAGAAGGTAGTACACTGTGCTGATCAGCTGTCACTGTACAACACTCTAGTTCCTTAGAAATGTGGGGCTGGCCCATTGGTATGAATACTAGCTAGCAGTGATCCACATAGTAAGGAAGACTACCTCTTGCCCAGAAAGCAAAAAGATAAAAGAGCCAGGATTCCATAGTCCCCTTTAGAAGTGTGTTCCCAAGCATCTATGAGGCCACTCTCTTAAAGGTAGGCCTACCCCAGAGATCAAACATTTAACAAACAGAAACCTTCAGAGGACATTCAACATGCTCACTATGGGGTATGTTTCATAAGATAAAGAAACTATAGAAGTGGGGGAATGAGAACAATAGGGGAACACATACCTATAGTCTGATCTGCAAGCAACCATGTCAAGAAGTTGACTCACTTCTACCCAGGCTGTTTCCCTATGTACCTTCCACTCCTGTGGCTTAGGGGAAAGTAGCAAATAGCCATCAGCCTGCTATTCTGCTTAAGAAATTGTCTTTTAGCTGGGCATGGTGGTGTATGTCTTTGATATGCAGAAGCATGTGGGTTTCTGAGTTTGAGGCCAGCCTGGTGTACAGAGCGAGTTCCAGGACGGTCAGGGATACATAGAAAGAAAAAGGGGGCGAGGGGAGAAATTGCCCTTTGGTGATGCAGTATTGAGCCTAAGTCTTTTTGCCTTTAGGAAATGGACCAAACGATGGCTGCCAATGCTCAGAAGAATAAATTCTTGATTGATGGATTTCCAAGAAATCAAGACAACCTTCAGGGTTGGAACAAGACCATGGATGGAAAAGCAGATGTGTCTTTTGTTCTGTTTTTTGACTGTAATAATGAGGTAATGAACATATTCATCTGTCCACATGAGCTTCAAGCTATAGATGGTCAGCTGTTAGAGAAAAATAGTGATTTTTTTTTTTAAATTAACATTTTCTGTTGGCAGCAGTATATATATCTAGTGAGTGAATAGACTGGGTGGGCAGAACAGCATCGCCTTGTTAATAGAATATTGAGGGAGCGGCTTTGTGACCCTAAGGCTTGTTTTACTTTGTATATGTAATAAGAGTCAAGTTGGTTTTGTTTGTTTTAATAAGCGTATATAGTAATGTTAGGTCATGAAGCTGAAGTGCTGCTGAAGTGTCTCCTGCTTGGAATGGTGTGTTGTTTATGGAAGATGTAGATCTGGAAAGGTGGAGAAGCCTGCTGTTGTTGAGGAATTTGTCTTCTATGAATAGAATGATTTGGAAAATAGCAAGAATAAATTCTCTGCTCCCATTCCCCAACTTCTAATGGCAAACCAAGACATACCTTTGAATAAGTAAATAAATTTCTCAGAACCATTAATTAAAAAGCCTGACTCTGTTAGACAACCACTAGGCTATAAATTTTGTTAAATTGATGCCAACAGTCTGAATCTGAAGGAGTGCCTTGAAGGAAGTAGGCTATTCTTAGGTTGAATTGTAAATGCGCCTCTGGTAAAGGCTTGCCACAGCCTTTGAGTTGTTTTAAATGTAACTCTCTCCTCCCAACTCTTCAAAATATGTTTTCACTTACTCTTCAAAGTTCACTTTAAAATGTTACCACAGCTTTATAGCTAAGGAATGTTTATTCACGATTAACAAGAGATGCTTTATTCAAATATGTTGACTCAAATATTTGGATATTTATGGAATTATTGTAAAGTAAGCAAAAATGGTACAAAGTTTGAGGCACATAATTCATACCTAATGAGTTAATAATATGTCTGAGATGAAGCCATACCCACACAGATCTTCTTTTTATTGCAGTTTGAAAAAAATACAGCAGGAAAAACTGAGTCATGAATGAATTCTTACTATGATCTGTACTTATTTAACCTAGTTTATATAAATTGAACCACATGTTTAAATTTAAAAAGATTTTGCATGTTGATTAATGAGTTAGACACATTGAGTTTAATGTAGAATTTTTGGGTTTTTTCTGTTTTGTTTTAGTCTCTTCAAAATATTTTCTTTTTTGCTTTTTTAAAAACATAACTTTTTACTCTGTCTCTCTTTAGATCTGTATTGAACGATGTCTTGAAAGGGGAAAAAGCAGTGGTAGAAGTGACGACAACAGAGAGAGCCTGGAAAAGAGGTAACTCGCAGGCCTTACTTCACCACCTCATGCCTGCTGTGGGGACGGCTTATTCTGTTCTGTTTTGTTCTGTTCTACTTTGTTCAGAAAAAGAATGTGTCACTCTCACATAGGCGCGGTGGCTTCTGTGAAGAGAGCAAGCATCAGACTCTCTTGTCAGCCTTTCTGTAATGTGGAAGAGGGAGGACAGTTAACCTACAGTCATGAAATAATTGTTTCTTTTGCAGAATTCAGACTTATCTTGAATCAACAAAACCAATTATTGATTTATATGAAGAAATGGGGAAAGTCAAGAAAATAGATGCTTCTAAGTCTGTTGATGAAGTAAGTGTATCTGCTTTGTCTTTGCAGCAAACAAAAAATTGATCACTGGGGTAGGTATGAAAAAAGATATTCTAAAGAATAGTACTTAGTTTTTCAAGAGATTTGAGGCTAACTGTGAAAATTTTTTTCCTTTTTTTAGTAAGTCTAAAATGGGTTTATAACATCAGACTTGTTTTCACAAGAAGTGGGTGGTTTATTAATTCCAGACGTCTTTCCTCAAATAGGGAAAGACTGGTATTGTCAGTACAGTGATTTGGATCTTGTTCATTGTCACAATCTGTAGCACAACTGGCATGTCGTAGCCAAGGGCCCTGGCTGTTTTCTTACGGAACACAGAGCTCCTGAGGTGCAGGCTTCCCAGGATACTGCTCTCTGCCCTGTACAGACCTCAGTGTCTGTAAATCCCTGCCTGCAGATACTCCTCCTGTTTCTGAATTCATCTGCACTCCTTTTCCCCAGTTCTCTCAGTCTTGCTTCTCTCAGAATCACTGGCCAAAGTAAGGCCCAGAGGAGGGCTCACTGAGATCTTTCACTCACTGCCACTGCCTGTAGTGGTGAGTCGGTCGGCCCATGAGAGGACTTGGACTTTTACAGTCGAGTGAGATTCATCCTTTGGGTTTCTATTTTACCAGACTACTAGCAGCCCATCAAGAAGCACGTTTAGTCAGAAAGCATTAATAAAATGGAAGGCAAAGTGTTCACAGTTTTATGTGCTTCATTTATATTACTAATATAGTGAAATATATGAAATTAAGAAATTATAATCTTTAAAATCGCCGGGCAGTGGTGGCGCACGCCTTTAATCCCAGCACTTGGGAGGCAGAGACAGGTGGATTTCTGAGTTCGAGGCCAGCCTGGTTTACAGAGTGAGTTCCAGGACAGCCAGGGCTGCACAGAGAAACCCTGTCTCGAAAAACCAAAAAATAAAACAAAACAAAAAAAACAACAAGAAATTATAATGTTTAAAATCAATACAGAATTGATGTATTTTTTTTAAACAGGAACTTAGCTGTACAGTTTTATCTGTATTTTTTTTTTTTTTAATTTTGGCATTGGGAATTGAATTGAACCCAGGACCTCATACATGCTACACTGTATTTTTACAATATCTGCTTTTAAAATTGTCTTTTTCCTCTACAGGTTTTTGGTGAAGTTGTGAAGATTTTTGACAAAGAAGGCTAACTAACCCTGAAGACATCTTTGAAATCATGCTTGAATATTGCTTTGATAGCTGCTATCACAGCCCCCTTTTAAGGCAGTTTTAATCTTTCAAAATTACATCTCAATTAATGTCTAGAAATATATAGTAAGGCAAATTAAATTATGTGTTTTTTTTAATTTGTGGTCACAGTACACAGTGAATTCAGGTTTAAATCATTTTAGGTATTATGGTGCTCACAAAACGAAGAAGGGTATCAGCTAATTCTTGTTAAAAGACTATCCCTTTTATCCCTTTTATGTCGGTGCCTTCTGTGAGCTAAATTTTTTTTTGTATGCATGTATATCCCTTTTGTAATTGCAACATATTGGGATTTCCACTTCCTCTTGCTGCGCATTTAAAATTTCCAACCTCCTAAGTGAATTTGTGGACCAAAATTGAAGGAACTTTATGTGTAGCTGGTTCTTGCTCATGGTGTTTAGTAAACAAACTCATGAAATGGATTCCTAGCAAGGTTCTATTTATCAAATAACTGACCATTTCCTGTCGAAAGTTAAAACTTAGAGATTGATTTATTGCAGCTTGTGCAAAGTTGTATAACAGGGCATAGTCTTTGCTCCCAAGGTTTGAGTCAGGGGACAGGGGATTCAGAGCCTGAGCAGGATTGTCAGCTTTCTTCTGACATAATCTGTGGGGCAAGGGTCACAAGTAGTGACCTGTGTTCCTATGCTCTGTGACACAGGGCTAGTCATCATTAAACTGATGTTACCACAGTTCCTAGAAGCAGATCCTTGACACGCATTCACTAGTTTATGCTAATTTGATTCAGTTCTTGTTTTAATAATTGTTCAAGGATTTTTTGTTTTGTTTCTTAGACTAAATACAGTTAGAATAAATTAGACAAAGCAATCTAATGGTTAAAATTTCCATTTGTATTTTACTTTCTGGAATATGTTTTTCATGGTTACTTGTTTTAAAAGATTTTAAAAATCATTGCACTTTGATCAGAAAAATAATAAATATATCTTATAAATGTTTGATTCCCTTCCTGCTTGCTTTTTCAATAAAGTTTGAAAGTCCAAGTGATTTTCTTTCTTTAGAAAATTAAAAATTTGTTTTCTTTTTTTCTTTGTTCTTTATTTCCTATCCCTAAAACTGAGTGATAACTAAGGTTCTTTTTTAAAAAATGTTTATGAATGTTTTGTCTGCATGTATGTTTGCATACCATGTGCATGCCTGGTGCCCACAGAAGTCAGAAGAGGTCGGATCTCCTGCTACTAGAGCTACAGAAAATTGTGAGTTGCCTTGCAGGTGCTTGGAACAACCGAGGTCCTCTGCAAAACTGCAAATGCTTCTCACCTTTGAGTGAGCTGCCTGTTCAGCCTGTATCTAAGGTTCTTAATAGAGAGATTACTTTAAATCCTCATTTCAGCACTTACACTGTTTAGTACATAGTGTTAAATAGAACACAGACTTTATATAATTAGATTTTATTGAAAATAGTAAGAACAAGTTAATGGACTTTTAAAAATAATGCATTTCTAAGTGTCTTTCACAATATTTACTACTTGTCGTTAGAAAACAAAGTATCCCTTCATGCTACAGTGTACTTACCACATGCTTATATTCAGTCTGTCTTGGTTCTTAGAAGATTATAGTGAATTTTTGTCTAGTAGTTTAATCCATTGGGGCAGAGGCTTTGTTGGTGATTAATCACACAGCTATGAAATGAAGAGAGGGTACAGACTTCCTGTCCATGCAAGTGAAGAAACACCAGCTGGGAATGTAGATACTCTTACTGATGACTGTAAGAACACCCTTCAGGTTTTGAGAGGACTAGGTGTTTTGAATAATCAAATATCTCTCTGACATTTGCAAACAAATTAACAAACAAAAAACTCACGGTAATTTCTGACTTATGAGTAAGTTTGCTTTTTAAGTAGAATAATGTGTTGGCAATACTGAGTTTTGGGGTTGATGAGATAAATCTGACTTTGCTAGTTTAATCATTCTGTTTATCAAAGATACAGTACTAGAAGCTTTTGCGATTCTTGAAGGACTTTACTTTTGAGCCTCTTAAAAGTTACTGTCATTTCCATGTTCTAGTGTTGGATGTATATGATTATTTAGTAAATAATCTCAATAAATGTGCTGATGCCTTTGGTGTCCTTGCTGGTTCTGATTTCTATTCTCTTTATAAGTGTATTGGACATGAAACATTATATTTAACACACGAGTTCTCAGCAAAAACAGTGCAGACAGAGGAGAACTTCTGCACTGTGTTTGGCTGTCTGGACTTAAACAGTGTGTAATATCCCATTTTTTCAAGAGCTGATTTGGGCAGAGCACATGTAACCTGTTTCACCACCTGTAGGAAGCATTCTTTGCTTGTCTCTTGGAAGGGAAATTAGCAGCAGGGAATATCTCCAAATATGGGCTTTTTGTGGACTGGCCATGTCCTTATTGTTTTAGAATGTGCAGTCATTAAAGGGGTACCTGGAGATACTGGTGATTGAAAGATATGAAGTTAGCATTCCTTCCTTGGAGATTTGGGCCTTCATCTTCGAAGGGGTATCACTGCTACCAGCACATTCTTTGCCTTCTAGTTTTCTTTCTGAATCACTGATGCGGAAATTCAGATATCTTCTGCTAATTTCATTTATTTTTTTCTGTCCCCTGTGAGACAGGTTCTAACTGTAGTTGAAGCTGATCTCAAACTCACTCTCCTACTTTAGCCTCTTCTGTGCTGAGGGACAAGTTCAGTCATTCTTACTTAGTTCAGTTATCTCTAACACCTCTGTGTCTTCAGCTAAATTTAACATTCCATAATTCTAATCATTTTTCAGTTAAAAGGAAGCTTATTTATTATGTGCCAAAGAGAAAGGAAAACAATGGTCCTAACCACCCACCCGTTCCTTTCCTTCCTCATTCCTGGAACCAGTATAGTAGGTATAGGTGTAGTTGTTAATGATGGTGTAATGATCTGGGTATTTTCCAAACCCTGTGTTTCACCAGCTTTCCTCTTGTGGGGAGATAGGGAAACTCAAGATGAATTTTTTTTTCTTTTTTTTCAAGATGAGTATTAAGCTAAGGTTAGCCATACTAGCTTCAGGCTGCCAGGCTCAGGCTTTTACAGATCCCTGCCTGCTGGCCCATCAGAGCAAAACCCGTTTTTCTTGAGTCTGTCTTCAAAGAGGCTTTTCTTGGTAGGTTACCAAATATATTATCACATTCTAGCCTGTAGTGTGTCCATGGACAGTATTAAGTAAGAGCACTTCATGGATAATAATAAGTTTGGATCTCAGCATAGTGCATATGTGACTAATTCCAGCTCTTGAGGGATCTGGTGCCCTCCTTTGGCTTCCATGTGTGAATAGATACACATACACACCACCCTGCACATGCAGAGATATATAGATACATAAAAAGAATCTTGCTTGTTTGTTTTTGTTTTTCAAGGCAAGGTTTCTTTGTGTAGCCCTGGCTGTCCTGGAACTCAATCTGTAGACCAGGGTGGCCTTGAACTCAGATCTGCCTACCTCTGCCTTCTGAGTGCTGGGATTAAAGGCATGTGCTATCATTGCCCAGCAAAGAATTAACTTTAAACAAACAAGTAAACAAACAAAAACGTTTGTGAGCTTTGGAAATATTCTTACAGTATTTTTTTTTAAGACAGTGTCTCGTTATGTAGCCTTGGCTGGCCTGTTTCACAAGAGACCTGCCTACCTTGGCCTCCCAAGTAATTGCTGGGATAAAAGGTATGTACCATCACATCTGACTCCTTAATTTAAGGTGAATTTCCAAGAAAATGCCTTAATTCAGTAAGTCTTGTTAGGAGTTCTAAACCCTTGCATCCCTGTAAGCATACAGCAGAATTGGCCTCCTGCCAACTGCCTGGTTCTAAGGACTTCCAGGGCTCAGCAATCAGTACTTAAAAGGCACAGAATTACAGAAAGCATAAAGTTCTGTGCCCCAGCTCACCCTGAGTTGTTTATAGGCTTTATAAAGAAGCGTTTTTACAAACTGCCAGAACTTGACAAACTGTGTGTCTGATGGTGGTAGGACAGCATCAAAGTGGCCCCATGATGGTGGGCTGTTTCTCACTACCAGGAGCACAGTGCATACACTGTTGTCGCCCTGTCCTCATTTGGGATGATAGGCTAAATGAACATTCTTTACATTATTTAGAAGGGAAAAAATAAGGTTTAATTGGCTAGCTTTTAGATTGGGAGAGAGTATTTCCACTTTAGAGTGACTGAGTGGTTGACCTCAGGACATAGCTCCTCGGTAGAGCATTTGTTCAGCCTTATCCATGCCCTGGGTTCAATTTCCAGCACCACAAGAACTAAAATAATATATCGACCAAGTTAAAACAGCAATCTCTGCTTGGTGCCTTGGCAGGTGCCTATCATTCTGATTACTTAAGAATGCTGAGGCAAGAGGAAAAGATCCTGTGAGCCCAGAAGGACAAACTGAACAATACAGCAAGGCTGAACAACAAAACCAGCCTCCCTAAAACTGATCTCACCTAGTCAGGGTGTGTCATGTGCTGAATCCAGCATGGCTGAGCAGAGCATATCCTTTTCCACTGCTGAGAGCCTTTACTTAGGGTGGATAAGTGCTGTTTCAGAAAGGAAGGTAAACACTGGGCTTGGGCTTACTGCTGTGTGCTCATGGAAAAATACAAACTGAGGGGGGAGTGGAATAGCATGGGGCAAGAAGAGAGATTTCATGCTACTATACGAACATTATGGTCCTTGCTGGGGCTGGCTTGTCCTGCTGTCTCTCATCAAACACCATTCTTGTTCTATCTCAAAATGTTCATGACCACAGACTGCACTCCCACTCCTGAGTGTTTTGTTGTCAAAAATTCTTTGAGGAATGAATTTCACCTTAACATCATCTATCTTCATTTCTCTTTAGTTTGTGTTTTGAGTTATTTTATCAATATTTCCGAGTTTGATTCAAAGTAGTTACTTAGAGCTAAATCACCATCTTATGTGACCACATGTACATAAACTAATTGGTAAAATAATAGCTATATACACATAGGATTCAATTCATGATCTCAGTGTAATAACATTCATTCAGGGTGTATTCTCTTAGGTTTAGTTTACTGGTCACTCACAAGCCAATTTTCAGGGGTGTCAATACTGAGGCTTGGTTCCAAAGGATGGTAATAACACCAAATTCTTCATGTTATAAAAAATGATCATTCAAAATGGCTGTTAGGACAAAGATACAACCATCAAATAGATGTAGTCATTACAAGCTTAACAGACAAACTAAGGTCTAGTGGTTTCTTAACCATACTTTGAGTGAAATGCTTTTTTTCTCCATATGTGTGTATGCTTTATACATGTTCATGTGTGAGGGGTTCATATGTATGAGGGAGGATGCTTGTACATATGTGTATGTACATGCATGTGGACCTGGGAAGTTGATCTGTTTTTCTCAATCTGTTTACTGAGGTGGGATGCCTTGCTGAACTCAGAGCTTGCCCCAGGGATCTCATCTGTCTCTGTCTTCTGAGTGCTGAGATCATAGGCAGTCACCATGCCTGGCTTTTACATAGGTTTGGGGACTCCGAACCCATGCTCATGGAAAGCCCTTTATCCACTGAGCCAATCTCCCTAGCCATAACTAAGCTCGCACTCTGTAGCCCAGGCTGGCCTGGACCTAACTGTGCATTGACTTGCACGCAGTGTGCTGAGATCCTTCCTGCCTCGCCCTCCTGAGTGCTGCATTTACAAGTAGGATCCACCACAGTCACCAGTGCTGGCTGGCTTTTACTTCTGCGGTCTCATTTTGTTTTCCTAGCAATTCTGAGGCACTTTGGAATTGTTTTCCTTTTGCATGATGATTAAAGTGAGGCCCAAAGAGGCTGAGCCAATTGCCTAATGAGCTTTATAAGTAGTAGTTGGGGTTTGGAACTGAGGTACAATTAATGCATTCACCTTGAGTCTCATCCAGTGTGGTTTGAATAGGAATGCTTTCCTCCCCATAGATTCAAGTGTTTCAATGCTTGGCCCATTGTGAATGACACTATCAGGTGGTTGTTGGAGTAGGTGTGGCCTTGTTGGAGGAAATATGTTACTGTGGGGGTGGGGGTCTTTGAGGTCTTATATGATCAAGATATGCTCAGTGTGACACACAGTCTCCTTGCTATCTGCCGATCAAGATGTAGAACTCTCAACCCCTTCTCTAGCACCTTGTCTACCTGCATGCCACGACATTTCCCACCATGATGATAATGGACTAAACCTCTGAAACTGTAAGCCAGCACCAATAAAATGGTTTTTCTTTATAAGAGTTGCCATGATCATGGTGTCTCTTCACAGCAGTAGAAACCCTAACTAAGATATTTAGTCTGCTTCCCATCTTTTTACCTGGTGTCTACTATAACCAGACAGTGTGCCCTCACATACCTCTACTATTCTTCCATATTTCCCCATTGATTGATTGATTGATTGATTGATTGATTGATTGACAGGGTCTTATGTAGCCTAAGCCAGCCTCAAATTCCTATGTAGCATTGAAGATGGCCTTAAAATTCTGATCTTCTTGATTCTACCTTCTACTTT